AACCTACCTATCCACCCATCTGATATTACCTGGGCACCCCCATGTGCAAAGTCCACGAGGTGCATGCTGGGCATTTGAGGATACAGTGATGAGTAAAATGAGCATGGCCCCTCCTCCCAGGATACCACTTAGCAGGCACAGTTGTGGGTGGGGGTAGCTTCCAAGGCATCCTGGGCACATCACATGCTCTCTCATGCTCCATCCAGGACCCTGGGGAATTCCTCCAGTTCCAGCTCTGACAGAGGAGAAATTAAGTCCTGAGTCTCTATCTCTAGTCCTCAGCCAACTTTGAGCTGCCAACTGGGGCTCAGTCTCTGTTACCTCATTCGCCCTCCACCCTGCTTCGTGAAGTTCTCCTGGTGGACAGGACCCTGGATTTCAAGCTGAGCTCTCCAGTTCTTGCCCACTGACTGCGGTAGAATGAACAAGGTAACTAACATCCAGTTGCTTCAGAAGGAATGAAACTCACGAGACTCCACAGGGTAGGCCAAGCCTTTAGAAGAATCCAAGACGTGTTCGGTGATCCAGGCAAAGGTCTACCCAGTTACCATTTGATCCAAACAATATGTCTGACACTAAGCCCACCCCTGACCCTGCCTTCAGAGGAAATTAAACTCCATCAAGTGTTGCCAGAAACCCTTCTTTCGAGTTCTCCTGTAGTGGGATATTACATCAAAACCCAGGGGATCCAGGGATCCAGGGACAACCAACAGAGGAGACATGAGTCTGGTTAGGGGTGGGCAAAGCTTATTCAGAAGGGAGCCCATCAGCCTAGCACATGCCCCATTCAGGAAAACTAAGCAGGGTGGTTGAAAATCAGACATGGAGGGATGGCAGAGGGGAAGAGTGTTAAATTGCAGCTGAAATCCACCTCTTCTAACCTTAAGGGCTTCTCCTTCAGTGTCAACAAATATGCAACCAATTAATGTAATTGCAGAGTTATTTATGGTGCCCAGAACAGTGCAGCAGCTGGATCCTAAAAGACAAGGTTGGAAGCAAAGGGGGAAAAAGAAAAAAAAAAAACAACCCTTTCTCAGTTTTTGCTGTGTGGTTTTGATGGCTGAGTTTTTGGAGTCCCCCCACCCCTCCCTTCTTTCAGATGTTGCAGTCGACTTGTGGTGTCCATGTGTCTGGTGGTCATGGCCCCTTCCAATCAGCTTGCAGGTGTTCCTGCCTGGGGGGTGGGGAAGGAGGGGGAAGCTAAGGGGAAAAGCTAAAGGTCTTCCGATTTCAAACTGTGACCTGACATCGAAGACTTTTTCAAGGCTCCCCCTCTGACTGCACCCCGGTCTTAATCCTCCTCCATTGACCCCTCCATAACACCCACCACCAAAAACTGCCCAGAGACCCTTTTCCTCCTAGCTCTGCTATGTGATTGTTTGGAGTGGCAGCTGTGTTGCCGTTCAGCGCCCCGTACAAGACAGGTTTTAATTAGAGTTATTGAGGGATTTGAATTGGCACAATTAGGGCCATCATTAATGGGGTCTCCATGTGTTCCTTTGAACAGTTTGGCCCTATTTTTTGTCCCAGGGCAGGAGGGGGTTGCAGCTAATGAAGTTGGAGAGTGAAAATTATCTCAGCAAAAGGAGGGCAAATGGAAACCACCCAGGGGAGGGGGAGACACTCAGTGGAAAGAAAAGAAAGCGGTTACATATGGTGGAGACACACACACATCCTCACATGCCTTATTTTCATGTCTCCCTTTTATAAAATGGGAAGTCACAGCCACCAAATATGTATTATTGACTTAATAGGAAAACAGGAAAGTTATGTACATTATACCAAACTAAGTTAAGGGTGTTTCTGGTGGTGTACTATGCACATGTTTTTCTGCTTACCCCAAAAGCTTATAGGCATATTAGAAGAAGAGATACAGAGATAAACTTCAATTATCAGAAGACCTACCCTAGTGCTTGGTGACCTTTCCTAGTCAGCTATGGGGCTGTGGTCTGGCCTATGCCATTGCTCCTGCACCAAGATGCTTCAAAGTCTTATTAAAAATGTTTGAATGAGGCTGGGGTTGTAGCTCAATGGTAGAGTGCTTGCCTAACAAGTGTGGGGCACTGGGCTGGATCCTTACTGCCACATAAAAACATATAAGCAAAATAAGGGTATTGTGTCCATCTACAGTTAAAAAAATAAAAAAAGTTTTGGATCCTGAAAGGCATGGTGGTCCATGCCTATAATCCCAGTGACTCGGGAGGCTGAGGCAGGAAGATCGCAAGTTCAAAATCAGCTTGAGCAAATGAGAAAGACCCGGTCTCAAAATAAAAAAATAAAAAGTCTGGGGATGTAGCTCAGTGGTAGAGCACCCCTGGGTTCAATCCCTAAGACCAAGATCCCTGCAAAGCCCTATCACACCCAAGTTTAGCAGGAGATTTGGGTGAAAATGGAGTTGATGAGCTTTGTCATTTTTAAAACTAAGAAGTGTTGATAAAAGTAGCTTTGAAAGGTTCATATCCTATACTTGCTTACAGTTCTCATTAATCAGTTTTACTTGAGTACACATGAGATTCAATGTGGGCCTTCCTATAAATGTAAGCAGGTTGTTAGACAGGAACATGGAATATCCCCACACACTTGTATAAAGACTACTGACTTTGTGCACCAAAAAATATATCGGAGAGACAAAAACAAAAAGTCCTAACCCATCATTATCTGAAATGTTGATGGGCCTTTACTATCCCAATTTCCCACTTCTTTCTGTCCTCTTTTGAACTTTAGCCCGTATCCTGTATATTCTCTCGAGAGGGCTCGATCCCCAAGTCTCTGAGTTGCCCACACAGGTGCATGTTTAATGAAGCCCAGCCAGGAGGGTGCCGGAGACAAGTCTGCAGTCTGGGAGGCCCTGGTGCCGCCAACATGCCCATGGATCTGACCCTCTTCCAGAGATGCCTTTAGTTGATGACATTTCCAGTAACAAGTCAATTCAGCCAAATGGGTTGTAGGAAAGCCAGAACTGGAAGACAGATACAAGGGAGTCCACTTCTAAATCAACTCTAAGTGAGAAAGAGGCAATTGAATTGAAATAGGTCTCAGTTCAGTGTGGACCCAGAGCCTGGGGCTGGCTTTTGGGTGGCCTGGGTAAGCTTTGGGAAGTGGGAAATGGAACTCTTTGGTAGGCTAAAGCCACAGCAGGCCACAGAAGGATGAGGAGCTGGATGCAGGTGGGGTCACACAAGTTGCAGCCAAAAATGAAAACTGAGTTAACTCCTCTTCCCATCATGGAGGGCCAGCAGGGGACAGGCTGTGTACAACAAAGTCCTCTTCCTACTTACTTCAGTGTCAGGCTTTCTTCACACTACCATCACCCATGCTTTCAACCCAATGGAACCCAAAAATGTAGATAGATACCCAATTCAAAATGCCTCAACACAACTCTGGATTTTGGTATTCAGACAGTTTGGTCTTGTCCCATTCAGCCAACTGCTCTCCTGCTACAGCCCCACAAATCACAGGACTGAACTTTAAGAATCCCACATGGATAGACAACTGTTTTCCCCAAAAGACAACAGCAGAACCCAAAATAATGGGCATACCGGCACACGCAGCATGCCTGGGCGGTTTTCAAACAATGGTTTTCAACAGGGTACATATTTCCTCCAAGAGGACATCTGACAATGTCAGGGACACATGTCTGGTGATTACACATGCAGGACAGAGGCAGGTCAGGGGTGCTCTCAAACTTCCTTCCTGGCTCAGGACTGTCCCCCACCAACAGGAATGATCAGGGCTAAAATGTCAGTTGTCCAAGGTCAAGACATCCTGATTTAAAGTCACACATACCTGGGTTCAAATTCCAGCTCTCTACCACTTCCTAGCTATGCAATCAATATCACCAAGCCAGTAACTTCTCCACTTTTTCACATCTGTGAAACCGAGGGGGGGGCGGGGTGGGGACCTTACTTAAAGCTGCCTCAATACAAGGGCTTATGAAATATTCTTTGCTTTTCTTTTTTGTTTAACTTGAAGAATGTTCCAGCCACCTTTATTAGAATCACTAAAAGAATATGGCATTTGGGTCATCAGGAATGAAGTGTCCCAGTCCTGAAATTGCCTTTTACACAGCGGATGTCGCTTGCCTCCTTCACTGGTGCATTTCTTACTCAGAAATTAGAGGGCTGGGGCTCTTTGGGAGAAGCCTCTGGAACACCTTATCTCCTATCCCGAGCCAAAGCAACTGAGGACAGCCTTCTGCAGGGCCCTGCGGCCAGCTGCACTGCGGTCGCCGGCTGCCTTCCCGCCCCCGCCCCCGCCGACCGGGGCGGCCTCATTTCCGGTGGCAGTGGACTTGGGGAGTCCGACTTTCCTTTGGAACCGCGCAGCGCCGCGGCCCAACGTCAATTAGCTGAGCCCTGGAAAGCGAATGTGCTCTGCGCTCTCCGGGGGAAGGCAGGGCGCCCCCGGCCCGGCCTGGGGTGGCTGCCCCGTTCCCCCTATTGTGCCTCCAACAAGGGCGTTTTATTGAAAAGAGCTGAGTGCATCTAATGCAGTTATCCGTGTCCGCCCCATCGGGCCGTGGGCTGGGGGCGAGGCGCGCAGCTGCCGCCGCCTCACACGCTCGCAACAAAGGAGCGCGCCGTGGAGAATTTGCTCCCCTTTGAACGGCTCATCTGGTTTCCATTTTTGAAAGGTTCCCCAATCTTCGCTTCCACCCAGCCCCCACCGCACCTTGGCTCCTTCCCTTCCCCCCACCCTCGCTTTGGTCCAGCTGTGCCCTGGGGGGAGGGCGCTCACGGACCTCGCCTCCGCGGTCACCCGCTCTCACCCCCTCGTGTGTGTGCAAGGCCAGGCATCCGGCCACCCCCGACCCTGAGCAGGGCCACACGTCGTAGCCAGGGCCCGGGATCAGCTGGATAACACATCTGGCTTCCCAGCCATCCCCATCCACCTTCCTAGACCTCAGCCTCAGTTTCCCCATGTTTAAAACGCCACCGTGGGATGCCACTTTGATGCCTTAACTGGTCTGTGAGTTCAAGAATTGATTTGTAAAACATGTGGCAAGTGCATAACAGAATAATTAAGAAAACTTAAAATTGTCTTTAATGTCCCCGAGTATTTTCTCCTAATCTCTTCTTATGTATAAAAAGTCATACACAACATTATCATTGTTTATTGGGATCACATTGTGTTTATAGTTCTATCTCCTGCTTTTATTTATATCTGGAGGCATTTTCTTATGCTAATAGTCTTTGAAAATGTGGTATTTTTAAACAGCTGCAAAATACACCATCTTGGGCTTATACCATAATTGATTTAACTTGTTCCCCCATTTTTGGACTTTGAGGTTGTTTTCCTGTTTGCTTGGGTGGTGGTGGTTGTTTTCCCTCCACTATTATAAGTACAAGGCAATTTTTTAAATAGAATCCTCAAGTGGCTTCCAAGTTGACAGCTGGGTCTGAACCCCTGCCCCCCTTATAAATCAAAGGCATAAAGCAGGCGCTTCTACTTCTTCCTAGGGCTGCCACGGAGGTGAAAGGTCATCTTTGGCCTCCCCCTCCCCTGCCTGACACCTCCAGGCACCTGCAAGCTGGAAATTCACAAGTGAATCAAGGCCCCTGTGAATTATGGCCTTGGGCAAATTGTATAAACCTCAGAGTCCTCAGCTACACAAAGAAGATACAATCACACTGGCCTCAGAGGATTGTTGAGAAAACTAAATGAAATAGTTTGAAGTCCTGAGGGTGTGACTAGGACACTAATGTCTGGCTATCCCATTTGTTAACTGTAGATGGTGGACAAATTTCCTAGTCCCTCTGTGCCTCAGTTTCTTTGCCTATAACCTGGGGATTTGTGAGGATTAAATGAAGTAAAATGTAAAAAAAGTACATAAAACTGCCCAGTACATACTAAGGGCTCAGTAAATGTAGCTGTCATTTTGTGTGCCTGTCTGACCAGCTTGTAAAGAATAAGGTGAAGCAGGCGGTGGCACTAACCTATAATCTCAGCGACTTGGGAGGCTGAGGCAGGAGGATCAAAAGTTCAAAACTAGCCTCAGCAACTTGGGAGACATTGATTCAAAATTTAAAAAAAGGGCTGAGGATGTCACTCAGTAGTAGAGTGTCCTGGGTTAAATCCCCAATACCAAAAAAAAAAAAAAAGTCTGGGCATGTGGCTCCCTGTTACCAAAAATTTTTTAAAAGGATTAAAAACTTGTTTTCTTTTTCATCTTCCAGGACTAACCCCTTCCAAGCCATTATCAGCACAGGGTCCTCCCTTCAACCTCAGCCCCTCAGAAAATAGACACTGGCTGAGATGCTGAGCTCCAATAAAGAGCCCAGGCCCCAGAGGGATCCTCATAGATTGCTTCACACCCCGTATACTCTCCAGCCTCTGCTTCTGGAATTTGGCATTCCGACCTACTCAAGAAGGGGACAGGGTTGGGGGTGAGGAAGCCTTGCTGTGATCCCCTTTCTCTTGCCTTCTCGGGACTTCCTGTACATCTGTCCAGATAAGAGTGCTGTCAGTAGCAGCCACCATTGACGGAGTATGCCACTAGGTGTCAGACCCTGCAAAGTGTAATAATGGCATCTGTGAACTATCAACTCATTGCACAACCAAGTACAAAAACTGAGTCAAATGGTTAAGCAACTTGCCGGAATTGGTAGAGCAGAGAATTGACCTCATGAGAGTTTGACCACAAAGTCCTGCTCTTCCTGGACAGCATGGGACTCAGGTTCCCCTATTCATGAAGCTGAAGTTGCAGAGTCATTTTCCCTGGAGTGTATGCCCTAAGAAACCTAAAAAGGGGAGAGTATTTGAGTTAGGATTTCTAGATTTAGTAAATAAAAATATAAATTCCTCTGAATTTCAGATAAACAATTAATAATGTTCAGTATAAGTATACTCCCATGCAGTATTTGAGACATACTAAAAATTCTTCATTACTTATATGAAATTCTAGGTTAACTGAGTGTAATATATTTTATCTGGCAACCCTAATTTGGGAGCTCTGTTACACTCTCCAGAAGTCAGTTCAACAGATCAGGGCATAGACTAGGCCTCCAGATCACAACACAATAATGTGATATCTCCTAATCTCCTTCAATCCCAGCACCTCTTCTATAGCCCAGAAATTAAGTGACCTGCTAAGATCAGAAGGTTTGAAGTTGAACCACACACACCTATAATGTCCCCAGCCTCCTGCTACTTATTGTAGAGCGCAACAAAGTGGTCACCACAGCCTGGGGGAGGATGTGTGCTTTCCAGTGTAAAATTGTCATTTAGCTGTATTGACATAAGAAAAATGTGGACAACTTGAAATTTGCAACAAATAATGCCATCTAAAGACTTTTCTTCCTTTAAGGATCTTTTGGTTACAAGTAACAACCTTGATCTAAACTGACTTAGACTAGAAAGGATTCGATAGCTCATGTCAACTGGAAAATCCAGATGATCACTAGATGGGGGTATGTCAAAAGGACATAGGAGCCAACTGAAAGACCTCCTGGTGCTCAAAACTGGAACAATTTGAGCAACAAAATAAAGTAGTATTGGAAAATAACCCCAAGTATTTAAAAAAAAAATCCAGGAGTTTATACTTACATAAACAACTGAATGAATCAGTATAGGAAAAAAAAAACCTATCACTCAGAAGCATAGCAAATAATTTAAGGGAAAAAAATATGATTCCCACTGACTAAGAACAGGATGTACATGCTGATTTTCTTCCAAAAAGTACAGTAAGGAAGGGGCCATAAAGGAGTCACATTACATAGGAGAAACTTCATGAACCTTACCTTAGCCGGGTGCTCAAGGTCAATGTCAACAGGGATAGGTCATTCTGATAGCATTTTCCCTAGACAGTATGGTGTGATATTATGAGATGAGAGTAACACCTTATTTCGTGGTCTTCCTCCATATAGACCATCTAATTATGAGGGGAAAAAATATAAATCCCAATTGAAGGGTATTCTACAAAATCCCAGTACTCATTAAAACTGCCAATGTTGCCAAAAACAAGGAAAGTTTGAGAAACTGTCACAACCAAAAGGAACCCAAAGAAACATGATGACTAAATGTAATGTGTGTCCTGGATGGGATCTTGGAACAGAAAAAGGGCATTAGGGGAAAAACTAAGAAAAATCATGAATAAAATATGGACTTTGTTTAATAATAGTATACTAATATCACTTCATTAATTGACAAATTCATTAATTGACTTCATTAAGTCACAAATGTATCATACTAATGTAAGATGTTAATAAGAGAAACTGGATGTAGAATATATGAGAACACTCTGTTAACATTTTCAGCGTTTCTGTAAACCTAAAACTATTCTAAAATAAAAAGGGTATTTTTATGGGCTGGGTTTGTGACTCAGTGGTACAGCGCTTGCCTAGCACATGTGAAACACTAGGTTCAATCCTCAGCATCACATAAAGGTAAATAAATAAAATGAAGGTATTGTGTCTACAACTAAAAAAAATTTTAAGGGTATTTTAAAATAAAAAACAGGAACTTCAGGTGTGGTTGGACTTAGAGCTCAAATACTGTCTTCATCTTTATTTATTTATTTATTTATTTTTGTACTAGAGACTGAACCCAGAGGCGCTTAATCACTGAGCCACATCCCAGCCATTTTTATTTTTTTATTTAGAGACAGGGTCTCACTAAATTGCTTAGGGCCTTGCTAAGTTGCTAAGCTGGCTTTGAACTTGTGGTCCTCCTGCCTCAGCCTCCCGAGCCTCTGGGATTACAGGCATGCGCCACCGCACCCAGCTATCTTCATCTTTTAACTCTGCCTTTCTCCATGAGGTCTTGGGCTCCATATAATAAGAATAGAGGGAAGAAACAACCACTTCTCTCTCAGAACCCCAGAAATGCTCTTTGTGCCTCGTTGCTTCTGGTTGAGCCACATGCCCAATTTCTGGGGACAGAGGAACAAGCAGCCATGATTGACTTACACCTGTCACTTGCTTTAGCTCTGAATCAGGGGATGACTTGGGGAGAGAGAAGGACACGTCAAAAAATTGGGGGCAATTACTTGAAGCAGGTGAATGATATTTTAGTGGTCAAAATAATCAATGTCCTGTACCCCTTCAACATTTTTGGTGCTTATGTGTCTATGAGATATAAGGATGGTTCTTTATTATTTCTACTAGCCAAAATAATTAGCTACTCTATATCTGTCCATCAGTTTTTTGTTAACTGATTTAAGAAATGCCAATGTTGAGGACACATGGTCCAAGTACAAGCATCTCAGATGGAAGAGTAGGAACAATGAGTTGTCAGAATGTGTTAGTCAGCTTTCCATGACTATAACAAAACACTTGGAGAGGAAAGATTTATTTTAGCTCATAGCTTCGGAGGTTTCAGTCCATGGTTTGTTTGTCCCTGTTCATTGCTTTTGGGCCTGTGGTGAGGCAGTTCATTGCATTGGAAGCAAGAGTAGAGGAAGCTGCTTACCTCGTGATGGATGGGAAGTAAACAGTGGAAAGGGCAGAATCCCAAAATGCCCTTCCTTTGAGGGTATGCCCCATGGATCTAAGGCCTCCTGCTGGGCTTTACCTGAGTTTTTTGTTTTGTTTTGTTTTGTTTTGTTTTTCCGCAGTGCTAGGGATTGAACCCAGGGCTTTCCTTTTGCATGTGAGGCAAGCACTCTACCAACTGAGCCCTTTTATTTTTTAATACTGTTTTAGTTGTAGATGGACACAACACCTCTATTTTATTTGTTTATTTTTATGTGGTGCCAGGGAACAAACCCAGTGCCTTACCCGTCCTAGGCAAGCACTCTATCCCAGAGTTACAGGCCAAGGACCAAGCCTTTAACACATGGGCCTTTCCTTTGGGGGGATATTCAAGATCCAAATCTTGGCATAGACCATCCTTATCTCTTTGAAGGATTTCATCCTTAAGGATCAAGAAACGGATCCAACATCCTGTACAGGACTAACAGAACAGAAAACCCAGAGGGCTTCCCAAGAAGAACCCTAAGACTGAAGCAGGGAAGATTGGGAAACCCCCAGTTGTCCTGTAATATGGACCTGTGCTAGCTACTAAGCAAGTACATGCCTGAACTCATCTGATCTTCACATAGTGCCGTGCTCTTCATGTTATTGGCCCCATTCTGCAGGTGATAAACTGAGGCCTAGAAAGCTTAAGGACATCTGCCCAACGGCACACACTGGCAAGTGGTTGAGTTGGGATCTGACCCCAGGCTCTGGACCCAGAATCACTATACTAGAAAGTATAATTAAAAAATAAAATAGGGGGGCTGGGGTTGTGGCTCAGAGGCTTGCATAGCATGTGTGAGGCACTGGGTTCGATCCGCAACACCACATAAAAATAAAATAAAGATGTTGTGTCCACCTATAACTAAAAAGTAAATATTAAAAAATAAAAATTTTTAAAAATAGGAAAATGACCCCCAAAAACAGAGTATTCAATATCCAGTTACCATTGACCGTCCTTTGATAGGAAAGTTATTTAAGTTTTTAACCTCACGTTAAGTGCCAGGACCTTGTGGGGGGTGGGGGGATATAGTAATCACTCTTTAAAAATTTAAGATAAAAGACCAGGGGAGGGACTGATAGGCTACCTGAAGAAAACACAAATTCAAGGTAGTGAGTCCAGTTGACATCTGAGTGTTTTGCATGAGATATTTTAGAGCCAACTTGAGCTTTTCCTCTTCTGAGTCTGTTGCCATTTGTACTACCAGGTAGTCCTGCCTTCTCCCTAGCCCAGGGCTGGGCCCTGGCAGGTGTTCAGAATGAGCGTGGCCTCACCTAGCAGGAGCACACCCTGCCCTTGGCTGAAAGTAGACATGGGGACCCAGCATTGCAACCCTTTTAGGAAATCCTATCTGTCTCTTCTTGGCCCTCAGTTTACCATAACGACCTTGAGTTCTTAGTAATCTTCAGAAAGAAAATCATTCCAAATTCCACTTGCTATCTTCTCCTGGGGGGCTGCTCCTCATTCTAAGTTTCCTGCCAGGAACAGGAACAGGAACAGCTGCCACTATCTAGTCCTTGGAACTTGAGGCTTCCATGCCCCATGGCCATCCGGCCCTGAGACCTGAGAACTCATCTCCCCAGCACAAGCCGGCCCGGGTCAGACTCCCCTCACTCCTCATCTCATTTGTTACATCTCCTCAAGTTCCTCCACCCCGGAGCCATTGTACAGTGGCCAGAGTTGTCTTTCTGAAATCCAATGACAATCAGCTGCCCAAAGCGGACACACACACACACAGTGCACCATAAAGCCTGGACCCTGGGATTCCTGAGGGCCAATTTGTTCTAGAGTCATGGGAAGAAGAAGAGAAATGAAGGCATTGCCTTTGCCCCCAGAGAGTTACAACAAAACTTCTAGAAGACAAGAGAAGCATAGGGAGCTGCACATGAGGTAGACCCAGGGCTTTTCATAAATGCCTTGTTGACCAGAGCTCAGTTAACAGCATCCACAGTAATAATAATGATCTATGTCACATCATATCATTTCATATTATACTACATTATATTCCAGAGTCTAGTGGGGCTTGTTTTAAGTGGATTATTCCAGGAGCCAGCTATGGCCAGGCTGGGAACTCACCCAATCCTACACATCCTGGACCTCTGTCTCTACATTTGCTAATCAGAAACTGCTTTGGAAAGGAGCTTTGAGATGTTCAGGTGGAACGTTCCAATATCCAGATATTTCTGAATTTGTCTCTCAACGTCCCTCCAATTCCACCACTATCCTGCCCTGACATCTCATCCACCCCAATCAGGCCTCTGTGCCGGTTCAGGAGAGCATGCTGGCC